GGAATTACAGGCGTGCACTACCACGCCTGGTTGATTTTTTGATTTATTGTAGAGATGAGGTCTTGCTGCCCAGGCGGGTCTCGAACCCGCGGGCTCAGGCCATCCACTCACCTCAGCCTCCCAAAGGCGCGGGATGACAGGCTGAGCCACCGAGCCCGGCTCAGACTTGCTTTGGCCCTTAGAACATTTGCCAGTGTGGGAGAAAGAGCTGCAAAACAGATCCGTGGTCTTGGCAGCCTCAGAAGGCTAGGAAGAGGAAGGTCAAACTCTGGGCTGTGCTGAGGTGGAGAGTCTGACATACCATCCCCCTTCAGCTGAGACTCCTAAAAGCTTCACCCTCAAAGGAAATAGGTTAGCCAGGAGTAAATCTAGATCTTGTGTGGACTTGCAGCCCAGCTCCAAGTCATCTCAGTGGGCCAGGGAGCTTTAAGCCTTGAACTTGGATTCAGGGGCCACAGGATGGTAAAGCTCCTGCTTGTCTACCAGCAGCAAACACAATTTTCCCTGGAGAAAGGTTATCCTAAATCTCAAAGTACTCTTAGACACATTTTCTGAAACACGATGTCCAGCTCACAATCAAAACAGCCACACACAGATACAAGACACCAAGAAGAACTGGCAGAAGCAATAGGAGCATATCTCAAATGCCTTGAGATACTGGAATCATTAGACACACTCTGTAAAATAACTGTGTTTACTGTATTTGAAGAATTAAAAGATAAGCTGAAAATGTTCACCAAGGCTCTGAAAGCTATAAAGAGTGACAGAGCAGATTATTCAAAGACCCTAGTAAAAGTTCTAGAACTGACAAATAGAATAACAAAACGTAGGGACTCAGTAGACATGTGCAATAGCAAATAAGACATGGCTAAAGAGAGAATTAAAAACTGGAAAATGGGTCATAAAAAAATCCAGAATGCAACATGAAAAGGTCAAAGGATAAAAAATACACAAGAGATGGTAAGAGTCATAAATTGCACAGTGAAAAGGAATAGCATATATTTAAAGGACACCACAGACAAAAAGGAAGACAGGAACAAGGCAGAGACAATATTTTAAGTACTGATGTTAGAGAATTTTCCAGAAAGACTCTAGACCCCAGATTCAGGAAATCAAATGAATTCCAAGCAGGATAAGTAAAAAGAAATCCAAACCCTAACATAGAGTGAAACTACAGAAAAATAAGGAAAAAGAGAGGAAGTCTGAGACCTAGTTGAGAAAAACCTTGTGTGATAAACTCAGGGGTCTAACCTCCACACTCAAAGGTTTTCATTAGGGCAGGACAAGGTCATGGTCATGTTTGTGATTCCAAAGGGTTATTCTGGCTGAATACTGAGTCATGACCTGAACAGGCGTGTGGGGAAGGAGGGGAGAGACCAGTTGGGAGGCTATTGCCATAATCAAGGTCAAAATAGGAAGTGCCTAGATTAAGACAATGGGAGTGAGGGGGACAAGCAAAAATGTCTGGGAGTGAAATCAAGCAAGGCTGGGTGACTAATTAGGTGTAGGAATGAAAAACAAAGAAGAAGCCAGGCTCGGTGGCTCAGCCTGTCATCCCAGCGCTTTGGGAGGCCAAGGTGAGTGGACTGCCTGAGCCCGCGGGTTTGAGACCCGCCTGGGCAACTTGGCGAGACCTCATCTCCACAATCAATCAAAAATCAGCTGGGTGTGGTAGCACGCGCCCGTGGTTCCAGCTACTCGGAAGGCTGAGGCGGAAGGATCGCCGGAGCCCAGCAGGTCGAGGCTGCGGTGGCCGGGAGCGGCCACTGCACTCCGGTCTGGGCGACAGAGTGAGACTCCAACTCAAAAAAAGAAAAACAAAGAAGCGGTAGATCGACTGCAAAAATGGCCAAGACTTGCGTGTTCCTCTTTCTCCTGGCCGCACCCACGCCCTTGCCCACACGACTCGGCAGTCCCCCTCATCAAGCCGTGACTCCATTTTCCAGCCCTTGGAATCTGGGCTGGTTTCGTCCAAGAGAATCCAGGGCAAGCAGTGTCATGCAGGTTCCTAGTCTAGGCCTCCCTCTGCTCGCCCAGCTCCTGCCTCAGCTGTGGGAAGTCCGACTGTCCCCCAGGAGAAGAGGGGAGGTGGGACCCTCATCTTCAGCAGTCCACTGACCCCAGAAGTAGAGCCACCCGGCTGACCTGTAACTGACAGCACACGAGGGAGCCGAGATGAGAAACACCATCCAGCGGAGCTCTGCGTAAGTTGCTGAGCTTCAGAACCACAAGTTAAATAAGCAGTCGCTGTTTTAAACCACAGGGGGAGGTGTGTTTGTTACACACCAATAGCTAACCGATACAGGAGTCAAGGGACTAGTGGTGAGATCTTCCGAGTAGGGAAATACAGAAGAAGTAGGCTGAATGAATGAATGAATGCCGGGGAAAGTTCTTCCAAAATCTTTGAACCCAAAACATTTAAACCCCCTTATTAAGACACGAGGCAGAACAGCTCCGGATGCGCTCCTTTTCTTGAAGAATCCCCCGGTGACAAACACACCTGTGGGGGCAAGCCCTCCGGGCGAGGGATCTTCCCTTGGGAACACACCTGCAGCTTGGATTCTCTGGTCTTCAGGTCTGTGGCGGTGGCGCTTCTCCTTGCAATGTTTCTAACCAGCTTGGAGTTTTCCACCTGCAACCAGAGCTTAAAGTTCCTCAGGCGCTGGGAGAAATCCTCACGGCCTCCTTCTTCCTGGAGCAGATTCACCTGCGGGAACGCGCATGACCGGGGTCTCAGGGGTGGAAAGGTCCACCGGTCACGTGTCCTGGGAGGCCCCCTGAGCTGAGCAGCGGGGACAGGACAGGACGCCCAAGAGGGGACAGGGAGGCCAGAGGATGAGGAACACATCTCTACTCAGTGCAGCCACAATTAGGGGCCACGAGCTCTCCTCCCTGTCCCCTTCCGGTCCCCTGGTGGATGCCAGCGTCATCCCTTGCCAGGATGGCTATGCGGGGGTCACACCCATCTGCCACACTCTGTGGCCACAGTGGACTGTCTGAAACGTCAGCCGGTCCGGCGAAGCCCTTGCTTGTACACCTTGGTGGCTTCCCGTCCCTTCCCCGGGGGGCCCGAGAGCCTCGGGTTCTGGCTGGGCCTGTGTCCAGTGCTGCCGTCTCCCCGGGCTGAGCCGAGCCTGCAGACGGTCTCAGCCCGCGGAAGTGGAGCCGTCTCCCTCTGGGTCTCTGAACACCATCCCCTCGTGGGGCACGTGGCTCTGTTCCCTCCTCCCTCCCGCTCAGCCTTGAGGATTCGGCTGATATTTTCTGTCTTCAAGAGGGCGTCCTTGCCCGGGACGGGGTCACGATCACCGTGCCGCGGTATCCCTCGTTCTGGCCTGTCTGCCCATGTGCACCACGCTTTTTAAAAACCTTTAACTGCCCGTGGGGCCCTCAAATTGTGCCCCTGGGTCCAGCAGCATGGACATGTCCTGGGAGCTTCTTAGAAAGGCAGAATCAAAGCTGAGTGCGGTGGCTCACTCCTATAATCCCAGCACTCTGGGAGGCCAAGACAGGAGGATCGCTTGAGCCTAGACGTTCAAGGCCAGCCTGGACAACATAGCAAGGCCTCGTCTGTACAAAAAAAGTCCAAAAATCAGCCGGGCATGGTGGTGTGCACCTGTAGTCTCAGCAACTCGGGAGACTGAGGTAGAAGGAGTGCCTGAGCCCAGGAGGTCAAGGCTGTGGCGGGCCATGATGGTGCCACCGCACTCCAGCCTGGGTGACACCGTGAGACCCTGCCTCTAAAAGAAATGCAGAATCAGATTGTGGGCCCCACTCAGACCTACTGCAGACTCAAACTCCTGGGCTCAGACGATCCTTCTGCCTTAGCCTCCCAAGTAGCTGGGACTACAGGTGTGCGCCACCAAGTCAGACTAATTTTTAAACATTTTTTGGTAGAGACGGGGCCTTTCTGTATTGCCCAGGCTGTTGTCAAACTCCTGGGCTCAAGTGACCCTCCTGCCTCAGCCTCCCAAAGTGCTAGAATTACCAGAATGAGCCACCATGCCAGGCCTAGAACCTGCATTTTTTTTTTTTTTGAGTTGGAGTCTCACTCTGTCGTCCAGACTGGAGGGCAGCGGCTGCTCCCGGCCACCGCAGCCTCGACCTGCTGGGCTCCGGCGATCCTTCCGCCTCCGCCTTCCGAGTAGCTGGAACTACAGGCGCGCGCTACCCTGCCTAGGCTAATTTTTGATTTATTGTAGAGATGAGGTCTCGCCAAGTTGCCCTGGCGGGTCTCGAACCCGCGGGCTCAGGCCATCCACTCACCTCGGCCTCCCAAAGCGCGGGATGACAGACTGAGCCACCGAGCTAAAAAGGAATAACGTTCTTTTCAAGGCAGCTCCGTTTTTTGAAAAGCAGTAAGGGACAGTGATGGATGATACGATGTAGCTACTTCATTTTACAAATGAGAGCGATGGCACAAAAGCAGACCCGGCGTGCCCGATCTCAGCTCCCAGGTGGGGCCAGCAGGAAGTCCTCTCCTCCCTGCAGGGGCTGCCGTGGGGTTCAGGGAGGGGAGGGCCTGTCTGGCCAGGGCACGTCCGCGACCACCCCTGGCAGCCTGGTGCTGCCAGTCTGGGCTCCCTGCGGCCCTCTGTACCTTGGCAACCCAGGCTCCTTGGGCCATAGCGGGGGCAGGCCCACATGGGCTGCCCCGTGCCTCAGGGCTGTGCGTGTGGCCCCGGCAGGGCCCGGGCTGTGCTGGGGGCCCCCGTCCCATCATGGGACCCGGGACCCGGGCCCTCCGCCCAAAGGCCCACGAGACACTCACCCGCTGCCGGGGTCTGGGAAGAGGATCTGCGGGGTTGATGACAAACCCAAACTTGGGGATGTTATTGGTGAAAACCATCTTCTTCCCCGAATCCTCTTCCGTCCTCTGCAGCTGCCAGTTTCTGATGAGGCTGAGAAGGCAAACAGCCCATCAGTGTGGTGGGGTCCACCGGGTGAGCGGAGCCCCAAGGATGGGGGGTCAGTGTCCCCATTCAGGTTGTCGGAGTGTCCCCAAGGCACGCTCATGTCCAGTTTCCGACTTGATCACTATTTTCTTTCTGAGTCAGAGTCTCACTCCGTCGCCCAGACTGGAGTGCAGCGGCCACTCCCGGCCACCGCACCCTCGACCTGCTGGGCTCCGGCGATCCTTCCGCCTCAGCCTTCCCAGTAGCTGGAACTACAGGCGTGCGCCACCACGCCTGCCTACTTTTTTGTTTATAGTAGAGACGAGGTCTCACCATGTTGCCCAGGCTGGTCTCGAACCCACGGGCTCAGGCAATCCTCTCGCTTCGGCCTCCCAAAGTGCTGGGATTGCAGGCATGAGCCACCACACCTGGCCACTTGCTGTTCTAAAGACGCACCTCCCCCAAAGACCCTCCTTCCCTCCCAGGGCCCTCCACATCTCTCTTGACCGAGGCTGCTGGTCCAGTTGGCCTTCTCTTGCACTTGGAGGAAGAGCAGAATCTCCTGTCGGGGATGGGTTTTCCAGAACGTGGGGATAATATGTTCTTGGCTGGGCACTGTCTCTACCATAATTCTCTCTCTCTTTTTTTTTTTTTGAGTTGGAGTCTCACTCTGTCACCCAGGCTGGAGTGCAGTGGCACGCTCACGGCCCCCGCAGCCTCGACCTGCCAGGCTCAGGCCATCCTTCCGCCTCAGCCTCCTGAGTAACTGGGGTTACAGGCATGCACCACCATGCCCTGCTATTTTTTTAAATGTTTTTGTAGAGGTGAGGTCTCGCTATGTTGCCCAAGTTGGTCTCAAACTCCTGGGCACAGGTGATCCTCCTGCCTTGGCCTCCCAAAATGCTAGGTTACAGGCAAGAGCCACCGAGCCCTGCCATTAATATTACTATTTCACCTTTTTTTTTTTTGGTAGAGACGAGGTTTTACTATGTTGCCCAGGCTGGTCTCGAATTCCTGGCCCCAAGGAATCCTCCTGTCTCAGCCTCCCAGAGTGCTGGGTTACAGGTTTGAGCCACTGAGCCTGGTCCAGTTTTCCACTCTAAATCCATGTTCCCCTGTCATAAAGGTGCGTATGCCCAGCCAGGTGCAGTGGCTCACGCCTGTCATCTCAGCACTTTGGGAGGCAGAGGTGAGAGGATTACCTGAGCCCAGGGGTTCAAGACAGCCTAGGCAACCTGGCGAGACCTCGTCTCTACAATAAATAAAAAATTAGCCGGGCATAGAGGCACGCACCTGTGGTCCCAGCTATTTGGAAGGCTGAAGCGGAAGGATCACCCGAGCCCAGCAGGTCGAGGCTGCAGTGGCCGGGATTGAGCGTGTCACTGCGCTCCAACCTGGGTGACAGAGTGAGACCCCAATTCAAAAATAAGCAAACAAATAAATAAAATGAGCCAGGCACGGTGGCTCACACCTGGCATCCCAGCACTTTGAAAGGCTGAGGCGAGAGGATTACCTGAGCCTAGGGGTTCAAGACAGTCTAGGCAACTTGGCAAGACCTTGTCTCCACAATAAATCAAAAATTAGCTGGGCATGGTGGCGCGCACCTGTAGTCCCAGCTACTGGAAGGCTGAGGCAGAATCACGTGAGCCCAGCAGGTCATGATCACCTGAGCCCAGCAGGTCAAGGCTGCAGCGGCCGCGAGCATGCCACGGCCCTTCAGCCTGGGTGACAGAGTGAGACTCTGACTCCAAAGAAAGAAAAGTGTGTCTGCCCATTGATACAGGGAGGGATGAGGCCAAGCCAGCATGGGCTAGAGGCTGCCTCTCAAGACAGGGACGTCCCCGGACTCCCCCTGCCCCCGCTAGAATCCCCAATCGGGCCAAAGTGTGGAGCTGCCCGAGACACCCGGCGCCCAGCCGGACTCGCAGAAGGGCCCGGCCACCGGCTCCCCATGCCCCAGCCCTCCCAGGAGGAAGGGGCGCCGCCCCCGGAGAGGCTGGCAGCCGGGGTGCGTCTTACCTCTGCAGGCTGTCCTCCAAAAGCCTCAGAGCCCGCCACGCCTCCAGCAGCTCCCGGAGCGCCCTCTGCACCGCCGCGGCCCCCTCCGGAGAGGACTTCTCCATCACCCGCTGGCCGTGGGCTTCCAGCAGAGGCAGCTGGGCCTCCTTCTCCGGGAAGTCCGCCACCAGCCTCTGCAGGACGCAGAGACACACAGTGACATCCCGGGCAGGGGCGGTCTCTGCTCCCCGCTGTGGGCGCTTGGGCCTGTCCGGGCTTTCTGGGAGGCAGGCGAGAGAACCGGCACCTTACCTTGACCTCGGCCTCCCGGGATGTGAGGTTGCCCGGGTCCACGGCTTCCCACTGTGCCTCCAGCTTCTGCGTGGCCACGGTGACCCACTGCCGCAGCTCCAGCAGCTGGTGGCTGAAGGCGCAGTGCTCTTGCACGCCCTGCTGGCACCTGTCCACGAGGTCCTGCAGCACAGTGAGGGCCCGGGGGCCTGAGCCATGGCGGGGGGAGAGACCCGGCGTCCCCTCATCCCCGCAGGGCTCCCAGACCCGCCAGGGTCCCAGGGCTCCCCACCCAGCAGCGAGGCGGGAGGCTGGTCCCCCCTCCTTCCCCGCACAGGGCTCCACCGAGGAAGATCGACTCTGGTTTCAGACGTCTCTGAGCCTGCCTTACTTTTCTGGAAACTGCCAAGTCTAGGTGAGGGCGGGGGAGTTGGCCTCTTGTCCACCTCCGATGCAGATGTCAATGGGCACGACCCCTCGTGGGCACCGCGGGCCAGTGTTTACGGAAACCAAACACGGGTGCACCGCACACCTGGCCATCCCACGCTCGGGGTTACCCACGGACACGGGAACACCGCCTCACCAAGGGGCGGATGTGTGTTAGCCCTGAACGCGGGTTCACTGTCGACCCAGCCAACCCATGCCCGACGTCATCCCCGGAACCAGCCTCACCACGGGGCGGACCTGTGGGAGCCCCGAAGATGGGTACCCCTTATATCCAGCCCGCCCACACCTGGCATTGCCTACGGAAACGGGGACACACATTCACCAAGGGGTGGACTGTGTGAGCCCCAAACCGCCAACTACCCAAGCAACCCTCGAGAGTCCAATGAAGAAAGACACGGTGGTCTGTTCACACGACGGCACGTCCCACGGTAGCAAGCATGGACGTCTACAGCCACACGCAACGCCACGGATGGATTTACGACCATCACGTGATGGCCAAAGGCGGACACAGAAGAAACCGCTCCGTCCTCTTCCACTTAAATGAGGATAAAAGCAGGCAAGCCCAGCCCGTGCAGGTCGGGGTCAACCCTGAGGGTCGGGAATGGGGAGCCGGGCAGCTCCTGCAGAGGCCTGGGGGCCTCGGAGGCTGCTGTTCTTCTGGGTTTTACTGGGGGCCGATGACACGGAGGCCTTCGACTTCTTGCAATTCATCGAGCGACAGACTCGATGCTCCTCTTGCTGGCAACGATCGTGTGTCCGTACCGTGTTTTTTTTTTTTCAAAGTAGCATTTTGAGCCGGGTTTGAGACCAGCCTGGGCAACTTGGCGAGACCTCATCTCTACAATAAGTCAAAAAATCCAAGCTGGGCTCGGGGGCTCAGCCTGTCATCCCGCGCCTTGGGAGGCTGAGGTGAGTAGATTGCCTGAGCCTGTGGGTTCGAGACCCGCCTGGGCAACTTGGCGAGACCTCACCTCCACAATGAATCAAAAATTAGCCGGGCGTGGTAGCGTGCCTGTAGTTCCAGCTACTTGGAAGGCTGAAGTGGAAGGATCGCCTGAGCCCACAAGGTTGAAGCTGTGGTGGCCGTGAGCGTGCCACTGCCCTCCAGCCTGGGCGACAGAGTGAGACCCCGACTCAATAAATAAATAAACCTGACTTGTGCAGGTTCTAGGGGTTTCTATGGGCTCCTGATGGGTGGGACAGTGTTTCCAATTCCTCTCTCCCACCCTTCTACCGTGAGACCGCCAGCTGCTACTTTGTTAAATGGAATTAGATGAATTCATGCAGACTTTAATTATCACTTAGACCAATGAGCCTTACAGGTGGGACCACGCTCCCTGGAAACTCTAGGGGTGTTTCTGGCGGCCGTGATGATGACGGGATGGGGTGGGTGCCCTGGGAGGACCATCCAGCAATGCAGACTCACCCTACCTCCCACACGAGTCCTTCCGGCATCCACAGCAGTAAGGAACCCGTTTATCAGGCCTGAGCGAAGGCGCTCACCAGGCTGCCCCCTGCAGGGAAGCGCCCACCTCCCCGCCCGATGGAAGCCCGCCCTGGGATTCTGGTCAGCATCGCACCAAGGGTTGTTCACGTCCCAGAAACCACAGCACTGGAGGTGGCCGTGCATTGGCCACGGTCACGGGGAGGGCCGCACCCTGACCGTTCCCGGAGCCTCGAGCGTGGCCATCTGGGAGGCCTTGGGCATTGAGGGATGGCATTCTCACAGAGTCGCTCTCACTGCTCTTTGCTGTGTGGGTCACCTGCATAACCTACCAGCTTCAGGACCGTGAGAAAGACATTCGAGGTGCTTGTCATGGAGACGGGTGCGTAAGGTTGGCTAGGACGGAGAACTCCGCCTTGGGCTGGGGTTCTTGGGGCCTCGAGCCTGGTACAAAGGCAGACCCAGGACTCCATCTGAATCACGGTCACAAGAGGGCCTGGGGTCTGCTCCTCGAGGGGTCCTCAGGCCCGGTCTGTCCCCACGGCTCAGAGCAGGAATTGATCCAGGACGCATGCCAGCAAGATCTCAGGTGGCCACGAGGGGGCGCCTCGCACACACTCAGCAGCGCCGGGGCCTCCGGGGCGCTGGACTGCCCTGGGAAGTCGGCGCGTGCAATTGCACGTGGACTTGTTCGCTGCTGAAGTGTCCACCTACCTAGCTGGGATGTAATTCCCAGGACAAGCAGGGGCCCTGGCCATCTCGCTCGTAGGGCCTCCGTGCTCAGGGCCCAGAACGCTGCCTGGTATACAGGAGGCGCTCCATAGTGGTCTGCTGCATGCTCGAGGAAGGGAAGGAAGGAGAGACGAAAGAAAAATACCAGTGGTGGCCGCTTACCTCCAGAGACCTCTGCAGGGCCTGGACGTCGGAGGAGAGCTGGTCCATTTTGTGCTGGTGGTTGGGATTCCCCTGGACGAGAGGCCGCACAGCCTCCAGCTGGGCCCCCAGGTCCAGCCCCTCCTCCTGCAGCTCCTGCAGTAGAGAAGGGAGCGGTGGGCTGTGCTTCCTGCCTGTCCAGGGTGGCGGCTGATGAGGGTGGAGGCTCTGAGTGGGAGCGGGAGAGGGGAGACCTCCCGGGCCTGGGGGTCTCTCCCACGCCAGTGGCCGCACCACGTGGCTAGACTGACGGTCCCAGGCTTGGAGCCAGACGGATTTTCCAGAATCGGACAGAAATATTCTGGGACAGCATGGAAAGAAACTCTGCTACGGACCAGATGGCATCTCAGGGGACAAAGTCACATCTGGACCCAAACTGATAACCCACTCTGGTTGTTCGCACCGGGGCGGTGGTTCACGCCTGTCATCACAACACTTTGGGAGGCCCCACTCTTGTTTTGAGGAAGCCCCTCCTCATTTAGTCTTAAAGCCCAAAACGCACAATGTGTGATGTCTTCCAGGAACACCGTGGATTTACGTGTGAGCCGCGCTCGGGTTTTAAAACGATAACTGTTGCATCACGTGCAATTTAAAAACCAGCAAGGGCCGTATCCGGACAACAATTATCTGTGATCAGCCCATTCGCAGCCCAGGCGAATTTTAAAATACTTACCCTCCGGGCCCAAATTGGTTTGTTCAACTGAAAGCCTCTGGACCCCTTAGGAATACTTAGCCAAGCGATTTTACAGACAAAGACCCAGGTTAGACTTTGGAAGTGAGGAGTTAGCAAAGATGGCTTATCAGTCTGCTGGGCCCAAGGACCCGCGGTCTGAGGCCAGGAGCCATCAGATAAATAAGCAGAGATTCTGGTGAGACGGAGGGTCTGCCCTCCGATGAGGGACCGCTCTCGGCTCGAGCCGCTGCCGTTGGGCTGGTGACAGCCTGAGAAAGGAGGCCGATTCTGGGAGCGGCGGGCTTTGGCCCCACGGACCCCTCACCTGCAGCCTCAAGAGCTGGGCCTGTTTCCCAGGGAGGTCCTGCTGAAGTCCCTTCTCGGCCTGGACTCTGACTTGGAGGTCCAGGAGTTTTCTCCGCAGGGGCTCAGAGGCCGCGCCAAAGTCTTTGTGCTGAGCGAGCCAACTCTGCAGAGACAGACCGGGCCCCACGTGTGAAGAGCCGCCCTCGCGGACGCCGAGTGGGCAGACCCAGCCCTGGCCAGCTCAGACTCCCTCGGGGGCCACCCCCTCCGGGGAGCCTTCTCTGAACCCTGCTGGGGTTGTGCGCCTCTCCTTAGAGAATACGTAGCCAAGCAAGACAGCTTATCATAGGCCCAAGGATCAGCAGCTTGAGGCCAGGAGCCATCAGATAAGCAAGCAGAGACCCTGGTGAGACAAAGGTCAGACCTCCAGTGAGGGTCTAAATCTCCAGCATGGGCCAGTGGCTGTTTGGCTGGTGACAGCTCAAGGAGGGGACTGAACAGGACAACTGTTGCCTCTAGAATGGGGCAAACTACACGCCTCATTCACCAACCAAGTCCCCGCAGAGGCCTGTTTTTAGAAATAAAGTTTTACTGAAACCCAGCCACGCCCATTCATGGACAGCTGCTTTCACAATTCGGAGGCAGAGCTGAGCGGGCACCCACGAGGCCAACTGCCCTGCAGATACAAAAGCCTGCACCATCCGGCCCTTTACAGAGCCAATGCCCGCCCTGGCTTGAGAACGGCCCTCCGACGGCGCCTGGCAGTTGATTCCCGCCCCCACCAGGCTGCGAGGGTTTGAGGGTGACGTCCTGGGCCTTCTTCCTCCGCCCTCCTTCCTCCTAGAGCGGTGCCTGGCCCTGGGGCTGGAGGCTATAGAGGCTCCACAAGATCGCAAGCTGAGTCCCGACTCTGCCCCAGTGGACCAGGAGCCGCTGACTGGACCAGCCTGCCTCAGTTTCCACAGCACCCCCGTCATGGTGTTCCTACGTGAACTGGATATTGATGTACGAGCTCTGAAGCTCTGAACACACGCCCAGCTCACAGTGAGCGTCCCGTAGATCGTAGCTGTTACTGATGTCATCGTGAGATGCTCAGCAAACATTTGTCACGTAAAGAGACAGCTGTCTACTACGTGCCACGCTGGGGCTTTGATTTAGTGTGGTCATTTAGAAATGTGTCACTAATAATACGAGCTCCCAGCTCTAGGTGGTTTAAAGCTCCCAAGAGTTTTTATCCCGTTTCTTTTTTTTTTTGAGTCGGAGTCTCACTCTGTCGCCCAGGCTAGAGTACAGTGGCCACTCCCGGCCACCACAGCCTCGACCTGCTGGGCTCTGGCGATCCTTCCACCTCAGCCTTTCAAGTAGCTGGAACTACAGGCGCGCACTACCACCCCCGGCTGATTTTTGATTTATTAGAGATGAGGTCTCGCCAAGTTGCCCAGGAGAGTCTCGAACCCGCGGGCTCCGGCAATCCACTCACCTCGGCCTCCCAAAGCCCTGGGATTATAGGCTGAACCCTCTCTTGATTCACTTTGACTGCAGCAAGGAGAAGGCTGGGGGCCAGGGACCCAGTTAGAGGGGCCATATCAGAATCTTGCCCAAAGCCAGGTGCAGTGGCTCACGCCTGTAATACCAGCACTTTGGGAGGCTGAGGTGAGAGGATTGCCTGAGCCCACAGGTTCGAGACCAGCATGGGCAACTTGGCAAGACCTCATCTTTATGATAAACCAAAAAATTAGCCAGGCACACTGGCACATGCCTGTCGTTCCAGCTACTTGGAAGGCTGAGGCAGAAGGATCGCCTGAGCCCAGCAGGTCGAGGCTACGCTGGCCCTGAGCGTGCCCCTGCACTCCAGCCTGGGCGACAGTGAGACTCCGACTCAAAAAAAAATTAGCCGAGCGTGGTGGCACACGCCTGTGGTTCCAGCTACTCGGGAGGCCGAGGCGGAAGGATCGCCTGAGCCCAAGAGGTCAAGGCTACGGTGGCTGTGAGTGTGCCCCTGCACGCCAGCCAACTCACACAAAAAAAGAATTCTGCCCAGCTTAAATACGAGGAGCCTGAAACTGCGGGCACAGAGGGATATCCCCAGCGCAAGTGGAGGAGCGGATTAGAACACAGGGCCGCCCGCCTCCCCAGGTGGCCCCAGCCCCGTGGCCAGGCTCGAGTCCCCCGCGCGGCGGCCACGCTCACCTGCAGCTTGCTCTTCCTCTGCAGGAGGCCATTGTGCAGCAGGTCTCTGTCCCTCGCGGATGCCGCCACCTGTTCCAGGAGCGTCGCGGCTCTCTCCGGGCCCAAGACGCTGACCAGCAGGTCTCTGTTCAGCTGCAGCACCGTCAGGCGCTCTTTCAGGCGACCGCTCTCCGTCAGGGCGGCCTGGGGGCGACAGGGCCTCCGTGAGCCGCAGAGCAGGGCCGGGCAGGACAAAGCCCCGAAACGGCCAGGACCACACCTGCTCTGGCCACAGCTGCCTAGGAGGCCGCGCCTCTCCGCTGGTGTCCAAGAAAGCAGCACACTCGCGCTGGAGGGGCGCCGTTGGCGAGGTCGGGAATTGCGGGGTCCACTGTGATTCCTCTCTTGCTCCCTGAGAAATAATTCTCACTCCTACGTGTCTCAAGCCACCCCTTGTCCATCGCCACTGTCCTCCACGGCAGCACACCCTTAGCTAGCCCGACTCAGGGATCCTCTACTCCACGTCCCCACTCAAGGACCCTTTAGTCCATGTCCCCACTCAGGGAGGCTCTACTCAACGTCTCCTCTCGCTGACAGCGGTGGGACCATCTCTTTTAGCAGTGTTTTGGACATTTTGAAGTGAGTCAAGGCTTGCAGAAGCATAATGCGAGGGAATTCAGAAAGGCTTCCCCGAGGAGGTGACCCTAGCAGAGTGCTGAGGTGTGGGAGCCTGCCAGGCAAAAAGGAGCCTTGAAGGGGGTGCAGAAGCCTCCTAGGATGGCAGCTGGCTCCCACACAGCCTGAACCCTACACAGCCCAGCCCCCACCTCCTCCAGGAAGCCTTCCCTGACCACATTCCCAGCTCACACTCACTCTTCTCGCCCCCAAACTTAGCAAACCTTAGAGTTTGAGCCAAGCCTCAGGCTCCTGTGGGCGCTCCAGCTATTTTAGGCCAGCACAGGTCTAGCCAAGAATCTGGAAGCCAGAGGACTTTTTTTTTTCTTCAACTGGCCAGAGTCCTTCCACTTTACCTGATGAAGTGACTGAGGACCCACTCCCAGACTGAAGACACTAGCGAGGCATGGGGCTGGGAGGAGAAAGATCCCACCCAGATTGGTAACTTTGGCCCAGGACAGAAAGTGATCATTCTCCTTCGCAAAGCTCAAGCCAGCGCTGTGAGCATTCAAGGCATATGTAGACACTCCTGGAGACCAAACACCACCTCGGAGGAGGCAGTCCTGGCAAGGCCTTGATGGGCAGAAGGTGTTGCTGGAAAAGGCGGCATAGCCATGGCCCACGCAGCTGTTCCACGTGGCCTGCACATGAAGATATCTGGCTTGCGGTCAAAGTCAAGCCTCTCACTGTCGGGGAGCCACCTGCACCCCCCTTCTACCAAGCCTCGACACAATATCATGGGAGTTAAGACTTTAGGCTGTTTTGGGAGGCTGAGGTGAGTGGATTGCCTGAGCTTGCAGGTTCGAGACCCGCCTGGGCAACTTGGCGAGATCTTATCTCTACAATAAATCGAAAAAATCAGCCGGGCGTGGTAGCGCGCGCCTGTAGTTCCAGGTACTTGGAAGGCTGAGGCGGAAGGATCGAGGCGGAGCCTGGTAGGTCGAGGCTGCAGTGGCCAGGAGCGGCCACTGCACTCCAGTCTGGGTGACACAGTGAGACTCCAACTCAAAAAAAAAAAAAAAAAAGACTTTAGGCTGGGGAGTCCCGATTGTGAGTTTGGGTTATGGACTAGCCAGGAGGCCTTAAGTAGTTCTGAGCCACAGTTTATTCTTTTGTGAAGTAGGCTCCCTGGTCTGGTCCTGCATCTGCAGACAGTGGAGGATAATGGTGAAAATGGTACTGAAATATCGATCTCCAACTTACACTAATCACACCAAGGCAAAATGAGAAACAACCTAAGTCTCTGTTTGCGGATACATTAGATTATGGCATACTCCAAGTTAGAATATTATGCAGCCATTGAAAATGATCAGTTTTGCTGGGCAGCATGGTGCGCCTCAGGCCTATAATCCCAGTACTTTGGGAGGCCGAGGTGAGAGGACTGCCTGAGCTCACGAGTTCGAGACCAGCCTAGGCAACTTGGTGAGACCTCATCTCTACCATAAATCAAAAAACTAGCCAGGTGTGATGACGCACGTCTGTGGTTCCAGCTACTTGGAAGGCTGAGGCGGAAGGATTACTGTACTCCAGCCTGGACAATAGCAAGACTCCAACTCAAAAAAAAGGATAGAAAGAAAGAAAATGATCAGTTTTATTTGAATGATTTTTTTTTTTTTGAGTTGGAGTCTCACTCCGTCGCCCAGACTGGAGTGCA